TCAAAATTTGATCAAAATTATCAAATTTTGACCAAAACAAAATTCTAACTTATTCTGTTTCGATCCATCCTAAAAAACAGTACATGTTGACTATATTGACTGATACGATACGGTACAGACTCCCTTGGTCAAACCACCTTTGTCCGTGTTGACACCGTCCATTAACAAATTTGAGAAAACTTGTATCATGCCAAATTTAATACATAAATGCCGACACCTATATTGCGGAGTCTTCGTTAGTTTTGCTGCATTGTCAAGGCTAGCTCCAACACAGCAGTTACTTTCATATTTTTCACACTCAGCAATTTAGATGGGTCCAAAATCTAGGGTGGGCAAAACCGGTTTTTGGTTAAAATCAAAATTAGTTTTAAAATAACCAATTTCTTTTTTCTAATTTTAAGAACTGAAATCAAACCAAAATTATCACAAAGCGATCCATTCGATTATCTATAAATTGGTTTGGTTTTGGTTTTTGATAAATAAATATTAATCAATTAATTTTTTAATAATATATTATATTTTATCACATATTTTATTATATTTTGTCATATTTTATTATATTTATCTTAATTTCAATTTTTAAGAGGTTTATTTTCAGTTTTTAGTTTTTTAAAGACTCAACCAAAATCAAACCAATCCTAATTTTGGTTTTTAAGAGGTTTATTTTCAGTTTTTAATTTTTAAAAGGCTCAACCAAAATCAAACCAAAATACATTTGGTTAATATCAAAAATCAAAAAAATAAAAATCGAAAACCATTGAAACTAAACCAAATTTATTTTTTCATTCGATTTTCAAGTAACCCATTGGTTGGATTTCAAATGCTTAGCCCTACCAAAATCTATGTGCCAACTTAATATCTACATCTAATTAGTTTTTAAATAATAAAATTGAAAATAAGGTATTTTTCATTAATTTTTTTAAAAAATAATAATTTAAATTAATTTTTTTAAAATGATATTTTTATTAAAAATTTTCAAAAAATAATATCTTTATAAATATAAAACCTCAATTACTAACTATCAATTTCTTCTAAATTATTAATACAAACGTCTACATATAGTATTTCAAATTGACGAGGAAAACACTATCCCTGTTCATTCACGAGTCGACTGAACTAGTTCATGCTTTGTGGACTTTTGACTTTGAAGCAGAAACACAAAAAACGTTGTTTGTTATAATAATTTAATAATATATGGAGCGATTGTGATTCACGGTCTTCTAGAGCGTGCCCCGTGTCACTAGATCACCGATTGCATCCATCCGTGTCTTGTGTGTTCATGGAAAAGAAAAGACAAATACCGAAGGTAAGTGCAAGGAAGCAGGGGTTGACGACCAACTCTTTGTCTACTAGTCTCCAGCGTACCTCGTGTCAATGGGTGTAATGATGAGGATAAGAAAAATTTAAGGTAAAAATTTAAGATTAATGATGTAATTATATTATTAAATTAATTAATATATATAA